AAATTTTCGCGGAAACGTCCTTAACGGCAATCCATGAAACGGCAGATCTTTTCAGTTAGCGGAGCTGTTCGCACAGTCTCCGGTGCAACAAAACTGCGGCATTTTGGCTTATTTTCTCTAAATGGCAATACGACTAATACGAACGCACTTGTTTTGGTTGTTGTTGTACTCAATTCAAGTTACGTGACACCCGCGCGTGAGGTAGCCGAATTTGTCTATTTGCGAGTAACTCGCCACAAAAACAGCAGCGGGCTTCCGATTTTTAAATTTCATTTAAATGAAAAGGTTACCTCTTGCGTTAAAAACGTCTCCAAAGTTTAGGAATACTACACCTTAAAAAGGGAACGGAAAAACAAAAGACCAAGACCACCTTCTAACAAACTGGTAACAGCTTTGCATAGAAGACGCAGATGATCCAATTAAACTAAACGGGATAATGCCAATAGAAATTATGGAGTATTACAAAAAAAAGGTTAATGCACTGATTTATTTCTTTAATATCAACAACATTAAATAACTGCAATTACTTAAGAATTTCCTTTATGTGAGGCTTATTCTCAAAGCCTTCACTAGTAACAGCGCTAACGCAAAATGACATACGGATAATTCAATAGAGTATTTTGCCTCGTTGACATGTTTTACTACATATTTACTTGTCGCTTGTGTTCTGACCCTTTTTTTGGAAGAAAAATATTTAGCACATAACTAGATAATGGAAATATAAATTAGGATAAATGGAGAATAACTTCCATTGGCGAGTAAGGGAGGAATATATTGAAAAAAAAAGAAAACCAAAAAAACCAGAGAAGTTCTTAAATACAGATTCCATGTCTTTTTTAATGCATAGTCCATTACAGATAGATTTCATTTCAAGATACTACACAGATTTGATATCTTCTTCATTTATTGAATACGTTCTGTGAAAGCCCTATGGCCCTTCGCCCCATTTCAGGACAAAATTTGCTTTTTCATATCCAAGTAGTACGGTATTGATACCGTGAACATTGAGGCATTAAAGAATTTCACAGCACGTTAGCATGTCGATTACCTATGATATTTATTTACACAAGTGAATAAATGAAAGAAAACATATTTGAGCCCTGCATAATTGTAATGATCAATGATGTCTCCATATTTAATTACAGTTTTGTCTCCTAGAGTTATCTATTTGTCACACGTGTCATTTTTAATGGCACTTTGCTGGGGTCATAGTGTTGTTGTATTGACGAAACTTGTTCCTAAGCTTTTACGAAATTCACCACTCCGGGAGTTCCTTTCTTATGTTCACATATTTTTCTCCAGATACGTAAACAACCTACTTTTTCACCTTGTGCATTCCTTCAAGTTTGTCCCGGTAGCCACTATCCTCCATTTTGTTGTTCAGTGGTGGGGGCTTGATTTTTCTTTGACTACATCTCTAACAATTCTGTACGTGAGGTTTTTGGAAGCACCTAGAATAACTTGTAAGCAAATACGTAAGCGTTACGTCACGTCCTATAATACTGACAGCAAGTCCGTGTGTGCGCATTTTATTTGTTCTTCCTGTTAACCGCTTTTAATTTCACCACACTCATAATGACAATAATTAGACACTGCATTTTGAAAGTCCTACACTTTAAAGAAAAAGCTCCGATACTCGTTTCTTCACCACTCATGCAATATGGCCAATAGCACACTTTCGTAAAATAAAAGCCTTTTGAAAGCTGTTTTGATCTTATCTTGCCATCTTAACTACTGCGACCTGAAGAACCTGCATATATATGGTTATTTTATTATCTTCTTAACCTTGGTTATTCTGCTATTTCAAAATAAACGTCCCGTTGGTTATTTGGCTAATTGGGTGGTAAACATTCACTCATTAACCCGGTGTATTGTCAATAGTTTTCAAAACAATTTCAGGGCTTAAATGAAACTCCTTCGTAGCGGTAATTAAACAGTTAAAGCCCACTTCCGTATCTATGGTTATATAAGTATCGTCGTGGTATGGCTATTCTGCAATTTCATATCAAATGTTCCATAGTTATTTGACTTAATAGACGGTAAATAAGCAATTCAACTTTTATCAAGTTTTATCGATTTAATTATACCCAATCTCTCTATCTGTTAGTTAGCCTGTAGACTTTAAATAAAGGAAAGACACTAACTTGTAGCTATTGGTAATTTTAATTAGCTCATTAGTGAGTTTCTTTGGAACTTTCTTCCGGACTTTCTACAACAATTGATTAAACTGGCAATCAATGTCAAACAATCATCAATATGTCGAACAGAAGGCCTTACGCAGTGGGTAACAAAAGAAAGCAAGCCTGCGCCCCAGAATAATTTGCACGATTTCCTTCGACAAAAAGCTTGTTAAAATGTTCTTTTTCCAAACTAGCTAACGTCCTCAAAATATCCAGCTAAAAGAAACAATGGAGGCAATATAAAACTTACAAGCCTCCTTTTCATCAAATCAATTAAAGCTCAAGTAACAAGAATGCTCAGAAAATTCAAACGAAAGACTGTTTGCAACCGTTTACGACAAAAAGTACACGTGAACAATTTGGAGAAGAAGGGCTGGGACTTACAAGTTTCCCCTTTTCCCATAAATTACCAATAAGGTGTTTATAAACCAAGAAAGTGCTACAACACGGGTGGTAAAATAATTACTTTAACACTCAATAGCATTTTTAACAATGTCACTGTATCCGAATTTTGTATCTATGGCTATTTCAGAAGTTCTTTGGTAGTGCCATCCTGTTATTTCATAACAAACATGCTCTCGGTTTTTTGACTTAATGGGTGGCAATAAAAACCTCAACGCGCGATATTTACTTCAGGGTATCTATGGTTATTTTACAGTTTTCTAAAACATCAACATCCTGTTATTTCATAGAGAACTTGCTATTGGTTGTTTGGGTTGTACCAAAGTTAAGAGCCAATCATCAGTCGGGAGCTGATTGACTTGGTAATTCTCCACGTAAGAAGAACGAAAACCTCCAGGCGAATGTGAGGAGAAAACGGTTTTAATGTAAAGCGGTGATGGAAGGGTTTATAAACCACGGACTCTTCGAATGCTAACTTATCAGTCCTCGTTAAAATTCCTACCTAGCGTTCGGTTCCAAGACTAAACAATGGTAACCTTGAAATTCGCTGGAGTTATTTGCCTGGTGTATTTCACCATTTGCGTAAACGCTGCTAAAAAGCCAAGATGTTGCCAGAAAGTCCTTCAAAAATTGAATAAACTTGAATGCCCAAAACCAGGTACATTAAGAAATGTTTTCCACCTTGCCGATGTGTCGAACGGTTTAAATGTCATTTTCGGTCATTCTTAATCTCTAAATAGTGAACAGTAACTAACGTACCTGTTTTTTTTTACGATCTTAGTATAGGTTATAGAAAATTACTAAACAATTTTATTGTTTGCCTTTCATGGATTTGCGTAGAGCCGGGCAACTGCGAACACCATGGTCCAAGTTCATGCAAAGAGATCTATGACAAAGATCAGTAAGTTGTAGAGAAATTGCGCAAAAACGACGATCTGAAGGTGGCTGGAAACTGCTTGCAACATCTTTTCAGCACATCTACTTTGATAGATCAATACTACAGTTGCTTTTCAGTTGACGCCACAATAATGGCATCAACCAAATTACCAAACATCTGTGCACAAGTTATTACAACGGTATGACCTGTTAAAAAATTATTTCACTGAACAAAAGACCATTTTGGTGAACTATTTGTATGGAATATATGTTACAAGATCCAGTAAGTTCAATTTTGTGGAATCTATGATGGCGATTGAATTTTCCCAGAATAGGGTATTTTCAACAGGTCATTACAGAAACTCGGAAACTTGGCTTGATTTTATTTCTACACAGTTTTTCATTTCTTCTTTGATTATTTCGCTGAGCTAAATATCATGCTGAAGCAATAATGTTTTGTCTACGTTTTAGCCGTTTGAAAACAAAGAACCATCGCGTTTTGATTGACATGCCAACTCAACAAATTTGATGGGGCCGAGTAACTCTTCTAGTATACGAATATCACGACAAATAAGTGGTGGTAAAATAGAGCAATGCTATAGGATTACTATATCTTAATGAATTGTTTGGCACATGAAATTAAGCGTGGTAGACTAAAAAACTAGAAAAACTATGAAGGGCGTTCAAACAAATTGTGCCATTTTTAGACGGTTGATCGAGGGATACGTCCTCTAAAAATATTTCCATCACTCTTAGGCAACATGTATCACCACGCATTAAAGCATGAATAAAAAATACCTCAGAATTGGCCTAGGTGGGAGTGAAACAAACTGGAGGGGAAATAAAAATTTAAAAAAATGCAACATGAGAGTTAATTTTAGCTTTAACCAATTATTGGCAATTTTTTGTTTGAGATCATTATTATGGTATCATTTGAAAAAGAGCTGTAGTATGGATTCATCAGAGAAGACTGAAATTTGTTGAAAACCGTTGCGAGCCACCTTAAACCAGTTTCTCTTTGATTCATTTGGCTATAAGTGTTAATACTGAAACATATTGTATTCGTATTGATTTTCAAGCCCAACCGAAAACAAGGCATACATGCTCCAGTTTGGCTATGAGAAGTTTTCTGTCTATTGCTACATGGATGGCGATGACCTTGGCGAATGTGGTGGCGGAGGATGGACGCTGGTCATGAAAATGGACGGTGCTCAGGTACAATTTAAGCGATTATGTTGCAAACCGATCCAGGTTTTGCGTTAAAGAAGATAACTAAGGCCATATTTGACCTAGAAATTTTCTGAGTGCATTCCAACAAGAATTAAAGTGGAGTCGTCAATGTTGAGATTGTATATTTTGAAGACTTTAATACCTTCCGTCTATATTTTCTGCGAGGGTAAAGCCAGTTAAATTCAAATNGCTAGTTCGCTGTATGCCCTGATTGCAGATGGTAAACACCGCCCCACCTCACTGGGTCGTCACGAATGGAAGACATTGATTGGTGCTCAGGCCTCCCTGCAGCCTAACTGCAACAGAGAAGGTTTTAATGTCATGAGTGATGATCCTGCCTATTCTAAAGCAAGAATTGGCTATATGTGCAATCAAGAAAATGATTGCGTTACTGGCGACTCCAGGATCGGGTTTGGTACAGGCGGGCACCAGAGGGACTCCGACACCTGCGGAAACGAGGCTACCCACTCTCCAGACAACGGAGACAAACACATCCAGGCCATGGGATACATCTTCGTTCAGTGAAGAGAACTGAACTTTATGAGGTTAAAGGGAAAAGCTAAGACCACATATAAGAATGAGGGGTAAAACGTTGTTTGTAAACTTATAACATGTTCCTTTAGAGAAAATTTAAAATTCGGAGTTTATCTTGTTGCTGTTCAAAAAAGAAATAATAAAGTGGGTTGATGAATCGATAAATACGGCTCATTTGATATGTTATCGTGAACAATCTCATCTTGCAATTCTTATATTAGGGACCTTAAGATACTGGACGCGGCGGCGTTGAAATACGCGGTCACGTCCGAGAGGGCATGGGTAGTAACCGCCACCTTTGTGCGGGAAAAAGAAACCTTAAGATTTGCGTTGTGCAAGCGGCGGCCGAAACAAGTCATAACAACAAACAGGTTCAGTCAGAGAATCAGGCGGTTTCGCTGTTATGACGTCGTTTAAGAGGACCCGAGAGCTTTTAGCAGGAGCCTATTTGGCCGACATCATTTCTGACGAAGAATTCGTGCTCCTCTATGACTGCAGCTTTTCAAAGAACTTAGAATTACCGTATGAAGAGTAAGAAAGATTTGACCTTCAAGAAATGGCAGATTCAGAGTATAGAGCGGTCCTAGCCTGCCACAGATTAGTTTCACACGATAAAAATCAAGGTGAAATAAGAAATAAAGCAATACTTTGTGCGAGGAAATTTTCCCCAATTTACCTGCTTTTCGGATTTCTTTCTGAAGACTTGGGGCTCACTTTTCCCTCTATAAGCTCACTAAATCTGAATTATGAAAACAAAATTGAACCAAACAGTTAGGAATTATAATAATGTTTACAAATTTTGGGCAAAACATGTTATTTTAAGGGAAAAAGTCGGAAAATAACTCACCATTCTGAGAGGCCGCCAAAATGAACTTCGTCGCCGCCACAACTGAGGTGGAGGCCGTAAAGTGGCGTCACATTTATGCAAATTAAATTGAAGACCTTGCGAATTTACTTCCGGTTGCCGTCGTCCTGGGCCGCGTTCCGGGTATCGTAAGGAACACCGCGGCAAAACGTATGCGCATGCGTCAAGTTCAACATTTCCGGTTTGCCCGTGTTGTTCGGTGGTTCAGATTAATTTTGTTGTTTGCCTCGCGGTGTTTAAGCTTGTTGT